GAAAATCCAGAGAAGGAGGGCTTGTGGGGGGGGGGGCTAGCTTGGATTTTGTGGCCGAAGCACTGCAATCAACAGTACGCCTGTGCAAGTCCAGAGTACCAGCTCCAGTGGGGAGACACACCTGGGGTGAGGTGCGGTGGAGAGTAACTGCATGAAAACAGAGACCTGCTGGCCACGCCAGCTACAGCAGACGTTGGCTGCAGGGCAAGGAATGAGACCAGGCAGGAAACACTTGCAAATGGGATCATCAAAACTGCTCCTTGGGGTGTGTGGGGAGAGCATTAAGCGCCCGGCATCCTTTCTGAGGCTTGTGTTGCTTCGTTATGCAGAGGTCCTGGCAAAGAGCCTGGGGGCACCTTGGCACAGAAGATGGTCGATTCGGCACCAGCTTCCATAGGTTGCAGGCGGCCCGCCCGGCCCCATCTTGGCGGTCCTTCCACAAGCGGGCCCAGACCTTTCTCTTCAGGGCAAGCTTTCCCCGCAGCTTCCATAGGTTGCAGGCGGCCCACCCGGCCCCATCTTGGCGGTCCTTCCGCAAGTGGGCCAAGACCTTTCTCTTCAGGGCAAGCTTTCCCCTTAGTGCCTGGCTGCCTGAGTGGGGTTGACAAATGGGTGGTTGTGCCCTTACGGCTTCGAATGTCTTTTGGGTGTTGACCTTGTTTACTGTATTTATTTGATTTTTAAAAGAATAAAAATAAACCCTGTCTAAAACAGTGTGGTATTATATACTTTCTAGCTTTTAAATATTGTCTTCCATGTAAGCCGCTTTGAGTCCTTTTCAAGGAGAAAGGGGGGGGGGGTAAAATATTTTGAGGAAATACATGACCTCGGCTGGGATGTGCTTGTGAAGATGAGAGGCCACGTTTTTGCACTGGGTTCCCAAGACTCTCATTTTCCATTTCATTGCCTGGTGGTCCAAGTTTAGGGGTGGGGGGTCCCATGGGAGTGCTGCACGATCCCATCTTGCTTTGGTGCCTCAGCAGCAGAGAAGGGGGGGGCCCTCACGGCACAGGCCTCGCAACAGAACCGGAGGGCTGGCAAGGGCCCCACGTTGAGCCTCCTGCTGAATGAGGGCAGCCACCGCTCATGCACCCCTGACAGGCGGGCATCCCTCTGCCAACGCCTCCCATGAAGGAGAGGCCCACCTCACCCCGCCTGAGGCAGGCCGACCCGCTGCCCGACAGCACCTCCTGACAGGCCCGCCTCGGGGACGCCTGCTCAAAATCTCTTCTTGGCCCTGTACATTTGTTGCTTTGGGTCCCACTCCCTGGAGGTATGGAAACCAACCCTAGCCCCACCACCACCACCACCTGGCAGGCCATCAGATCTTGGAAGAGAGCTTTCGTCTCGCCTTTCTACAGGGTGAACACAGACACGTCCCTCCACGGTCCTTCACAGAGCTTAGCCCCCTGCCCTTTGATGCAGGGCGGCTGGCCCAGATCCTTCGTCTGCTATTCCTCAGGGGCCCAGAATAGAAAAAAAGTCATTTATCCCAGGTGAGGATGGACCAAAGCAGAGTACAATGGGATTATGACTTCTCCTGCTCTGTGGGCAGCCTAGCATGGCATCCGCAATTTAACTCTCTCTCTCTCTCTCTCTCTCTCTGTCACACACACACACACACACACACACACACACACACACACACAAACACACACCACTTTAAAAGCAATGGTACAAGAGAGCGGGACGCCTTCTAGAACTGGGATAGAGAGGCTGATTGCTTCCAGTGTGAGAAAGAGATCCGCTCATCCTTCTGACGGGAGGGGTGGGTGGGTTTCCGGTGGAATCTCATTTCCAAGCACTGAGCGAGAGGGTCGCGTACCTGTCCCGCGCAGCCTCCGGGCCAACTCAGACGTGAAGACAATGTTCATGAGCTTGGTGCTGCTGTAGGCATTGGAGGCGCCCTTCGGCCGCTCTTCTCCGGTCAGGAACTTGACATTCACGTCCCCCTTATAATGTATGTAGGAGGAGACGTTCACAACGCGTGCAGGAGCCGAGGTCTTCATGATGTCTGGGGGTGGGGGAGGAGAGAGAGAGGTTAGGAGTGGAATGGGGTGGGGCACAGTCAAAGGCTAAGACCAATCTGGAGCAAAGAACCCACCCCCACAGACACACACCCCTGCTTCCCCACCAGGGAGCAAGGAATCCAGGCTGGGTTCAGAAACACACCCACACACCCTTGGCTGACCTGTAGGCTCACCCCAAAGGCTTCCTTTGGCTGGACTGTCTCTAGACTGATCCCCAATTTCTGATAGGGGAGGGATGGGCGTGGCTCCCCCACAGAGCCACTTTTCCCCCTTCATATCCGTCCACCCAGACATGTTTGCCACAGGCTGCTGAAGGAGTGTGGCAGTGCCAGGATACTGGCCTCCAGTCCTTCTCCAAGGGATCCCTGGCAAGGGGGTCTCTCCCTTGGGCACCATCTTCTCAGAGCTGTTACACACGCCAGGACTGAGATCGGTCAGTCACAACCATACCAGGATCTATTCCACACTGAGACTGTATTGCTCGGGGGGGGGGGGGGGCATCACTTTGTACTTGCTGGCCTCCTATTGCATTTGAACCACAGGGAAGATTGCCAAACTCTCACGGATGACCACTGGGGGTCAAGTCATGGTGGTGGCTGCTGTCCCTGAACAAGGAGACCCAAGTTTGCATCAAGCTGCCCATGTGGGTGTATAGGTGCCTCTGCAGAATCAGGCATTACTTTTTGCATTTAAAGAAAAATGACACAGTCTCTCCCTTGGATGGGAACAAGGGCAACCAGCCACTGCTTGAACCTGCAGGCCGGGCTCGGAGTTCCCTGTGGAGGGTGGAGGGGAAACCCCAGGGGTCCCTGGCCTCCCTCCTGTTCCTGGATCGCTCTCTCTTTCACTCGGCCTGAGCCCCGAGGGCTTCCCCAAGGGAGGGTGGTCCTCCTGCTAGTGCAGCCCCCTCGGCCGACCTCCTGGACAGAAAGGAGTCCGTCTTTACCCAGCAAAAGGTTGGTGAGCAGGAAGGGGCCGAGGGCATTGGTGGCAAAGAGAAGCTCCAGGCCCTCTTCTGTGACTCTGTGCGGCAGACCTGGAGGGGAGACAAGAAAGGGGGGGGGGTTCGGCTCAGTCGTGGGCTGCTTGGTGTCCAGGCTCCCAGCAGAGGAGCAGCCTGGGTCCTCTGCTTCTCTGCCCACCCTTCACCGCCCCCCTACTCCCTTTCCCTCTTCTGCTTTATCTGGGGGACCATCAGTGGGTGGCCCTCCTCCTGCATCTGCCCTTTCTTCTCGGCACAAAAGAGCTCCCCATTCACACGTCAACTGGGCTGACACCAAGACACCCCAAGCCGGGGGTGGCGGGGGGGGCGGGGAGGATCCTGGGCCAGGATCTGGTCAGGTCCATTGAACCGCCAGGCAGCCAAAGCAGCAACCATCTTGCAAACGGGTGTTTGGGCTTCCCCGTGGGGTCACCAATCTGCAGGCGCCGCAAGGCTGCTGAGCCTGGACCAGAGGTGCCGTCAGGCCCTGAAGGGGTCCAGTTAATACATCTTTATCTATCTATCTATCTATCTATCTATCTATCTATCTATCTATCTATCTATCTATCTATCTATCTATCTATCTATCTATCTATCTATCTATCTATCTATCTATCTTAGCCTAACCAGAGCTATCTTGCTTTCTGTAACTGCTTTGCTGCCTGGCTAAGTTTCTGCTTTTGAGACAAAAAAAGGCGAAGGTGGGAGGGCCAGCCCCCCCCCCCCCCGGGCCTTCCGTGGCTTGGAAGCGACAACGGGTCTAATGGCGCCTGTCCTTGGACTGACAACGAGCTGTCGGCGGCGTCGGACCCGGAACCCAGGGAGGGTGAGGGAGGGCAGGCCCCTCCAGCCGCCCCCCCGTC